TGCTTTTGTCTCTCCTTTGTTCAGAGACAGCCTAGCAGATCTATTCCCCTAATAAAGGCTTGTTGTGGCCTGGTCTGCTCTTGGTCTTTGGCCCTTTTACCTGACAATAAAAATGATCAAAATTTCTGTACTGATGAAAGTGACTGGTGCCTCATTCTTACTGGGGTCAGCGTGTAGTGTATCTCGAGAGTGCCCTTGTAGGTGGGACTTTCTTCCATAACTTGGAACTAGGGAGCACTGAAGAAGGGAGTGTTTTGTGCACTTCCACCAACTAACATCTTTGCAGTTAATCTATAAGTTGTGGGATAGATATCAGCAGAGAGAAACTTCATGAATTGGGTTACACATTGGAGCTTATGTGCACATTCAAAGGTGTCACTAAATAGACTTGGTTTTTAAACTTCTGTGTGCATCTGAATTTTCTGGATGCTTGATCAACATGTGTAGGGCTTCACCTCCCACAGATTGGCAGGGAGTCTTAGAACTTGGATTGCTAGGATGTTGGTAGTAGCTGCTTACACTGGTCTCTGAGCACTTCCTTTGGAAAAAGGTAAGTATTGCAGTGCTGCTTGAAGTGTGGCCTGTTGTACTTTGGTGCGACGTTCCTATCCCAAATACCAAGACTGCAGCATTAAGGAATTTGCAGGTGCCTCTTGAATGGATCAGTAAGGTCCTTTAACATAGGGGTTAGGTTACATTGAAGTGGGCGCATCAGAAATCAGTAGAGGAAAAAACATTTCTGCCTTGCTGAGAAAGGCTTTGCCAACTTGTTGATGACTGCAAACCCCATAACCAGCAGTCATTCAGGAATGTAACTGCAGAAATTTCTACTTTCAGATAAATTTACTGTGAGTAGAGAGAGACAGGGAGGTGAGACACTTAGGAGGTACTGCAGTCCAACTGCAGCCCCGATTCTCCTTTCTTACCCTTTCCTGTGAAACAGTTATCTTTCTCTACTTAAAGGAGACAGTGCCTCAGCCTTCAGGCCTGAAGATTGAACCCAGGACGTCACCTGTGCCAGACAAACACTCTACCACTAAGCTATGTCCCCAGCCTTCTAAACGTTTTTGACAAAGTCTTCCTAAATTGCCCAAGGTGGGCTTGAATTTGAAATTGTCCTGCCTCAGCCTCACAAGTAGCAGAGATTAGAGGCCTGCATCACCAAACCCAGCTGCCAGTCAGCTGTTGATGAAGTTTCAAGGAGGATGTGGCTTTGGGACTAGAGTCAGATATTTTTCACCTCCACACGTGGTGCTGCAACTCCACAGGGTCCCAGAGAGAGGCCTGTGCTGAATGTGCACATCCCCAACCCCAGTCTAAATACAAATACAGTACGGCTGGACAACCTCTCTGCTGTTGGCTCTCTAGTCCTCGAATGATCAGATTGAATAGATCAGAAGTGCACTATCTTTAGAAGGCAGTTCCATTCCCAAAGAGACCACATGACTGGCCCCCAAACAACTGTTGATTGCTCAACATCTAAAGAAAATTCCAAACTTCTAGCACCCAAGGACAGGAAGTAGGCACCTCCTCCCTTGTGGCATCTCAGATGTCTCCAGGCAGGACACTTGCCCAGCGGGCAGAGCTGGGAACTCCAGTGAGGCTGATCTCAGCCAGGTCTAAACTCTGAAATGCCTGGGGAGTTGTTGACAGTGCAATTCCCCCCCTTCCTTTGCCCCCACATGCTCTCCATTTTAGTTACTGTTTCCTCCCCCAGCTCCCAAACATTTGTACTCAGGAAACACTGGGGACCATAAAACTTTTCATTTAGCTGTGGGCTTCTGGCCCTTGAGACAATGCATGTAAAGCATTCAGCCTTGAGAAAGCCTCAAAAATGTTAGCAATTGTTATTAAGGAAGCTGGGCTACAGAATATTCTGCCTCAGTGGTATCCATTCAAGTGGGTTTTCCTCGCACAGGTATGTTATGAGATGACTTATAAACATTCATAGGTCCAGTGCTCTAGAACTGTGTCTCCAGTGTAAAGTGGAATAACTCTATTGCTCCCCTTATTTTGTTCCCCCAAATCACTGTGTTTCACATCTTCCTTTTTTTTTTTTTTTTTTGCTATTATTCCTCTTAACCAGTGACTCGCTGGAAAACAAACTCAGACTCAAGGCCAGTATACTTCTTTAAAAAGCATCTTTATTATTTCAGCAGTCACAGAATAAAAGCATCCACTACGTATTTGTCAGTTTGGCACCTTTGGTACCATGTCTGCCCAGAGCGAGGTGAATGCAGCCACTCAACTGTCACCAAACACAGGGTGAGAAAAGGGGGGAGGAAATGGGTGGTGAAGAAGTGTTCTGAGATCTTTCATACAAATGGCTACAAATGCAGTATAAAAATAAAAATTAAATATCACAAATACTTTAAAATTTAAGTTAAAAGTTCCCATAGGAGAGGTAGCTGTGGAGGTTTCAGGGCTGTTTCCAAGGTTTAGGTCCTTGCTCCCTAAGCGTCCACAGGGCTCAGAGGGTTCCCGACCGCTTCCAGGTCACTCAGGCATTCAGCTCCAGATCATTGATATACTCCTGGACCCAGGCCTCACTGGGGTCAGCGCAGACCTGCCGGCCCTTCTTGGTTACAAAGCTGTGGAGAGAGGCAAAGGATCAAACACTGAGGACTCCTGCAGCGGGGTCCTGGGCCCATGATGGCCCTGCTATCCCAGCCAGTGTCCTGAGTATCTCAGGGATGGTCTGTCTTGACAGCCACTCTCACTGACTCAAGGGGCCCTTGGAGCACCCTGCCACCTTCCTCCTGTCCCCTCCCTCTCGGGTAGCCCGCCTCATTCTGCACTATCACCTGCCACGAAGTCGGGTCACACCTTGGAGAGTGAGGGCCTGTGGTTTTGACAGGATGGGGGCCATCCTAGCATGGCCTCTGTAGTCTGTCTGTGCCCTAAGGGCTTGGCCCCAGGAGTGGGTAGGAGGGCTGGCACTTACATGACACCTGGCTGGGAGCACTGGCTGCTGGTCTCATGATAGTCAGCTAAGTATGGGCGTGGAATCTTCTTAGCCGCATAGGAGAAGCAGCAGGCGGTCGGCGTGTCAGCACCAACTGTAGAGGAAGGGACAGAGCGAGCCATGTCATCATTTAGAAGGAAGGGCCAGCCAAAAGCTGCTGCTTCACAGCATGAGCAGGATGGCCTTGCTCTGAGTGGAGGCTGGAAGACCAGGTCACTGGTAGGCATTTGGGCATTTTTGCCCAGAAATACCCATCTCTATCTTCATTGCTGCCTCTACTTTCTCTCTAACTCTTCCCTGTGAGCTCTATCTTTCTCTGTGTGATTTGACAGATAGTTCTCTTGCCTCATTTCTCTTCAGGGAATTCTACCTGGTTCAAGATGTCATACCCAAATAAAAAAGAAGTCTAGGCCATCTCTCTGGAGACAACCAAGGGACAGAACTCCAGCTACTGAGAGGGTGATACCACTAGGAAGTAACCAGACTGATTCTACCTCTTGCAAATTTATTTGTTTAGGACCTTGTTTTTCTATCTGTATAAGGGACTGTAGCTGCTCCATACCCTCTACCACCACCACCATGACTCTCAGAAATGGAACTAGGAGAGCTAAATCCCATTGTAAAGATGAAGCAGACAGATTGTGATGTTTTGTAGTCCTTCAGAATTTATTTTTTTGCCTTGGACATTCTGAGGCCATAAGAAAAGACTGATGTGGCCAGGGATTAGGAACACCTGCAAAAACAGCACAAACTCACCTGGTGCACAGAAGCCCTCACTTTAATTGGACTGCCTTGTATTCCATCGCCTCTGCCTTAACAATATTCAATTCATCCTTTGCACCAACCTCTAACCTGACTGCTCTAAATGAGAAGCAGTGCTTATTGTCATCATTCCTTACCTTAAAGTGATAACCTTGGTCAGCCTTAAATGTACAAGCAATAGGATAGCTTTGGGGCCTCAGGGGGCTCATGTCCATGTCTATCACATTTTTAGTGGGGTGGTGGCACACAGCTGGGAGAGGAGGCAGACAAAGATAAATGAGTGGGGCTCTGAGTTCTTTGTAATGGCCTTTATCCTCAGATGTCCCCAGTCTAGCAGGCAAGAAGGGTGTGTGATCAGGTCATCACAACACTTAGCAGAAAATGCTAAAACTCCTAAAAGAAGATGAAGTGAAGGCTCAGAACACTCAGTATGAGGGGGGGAAATGACCTTCTGTGGGGAGATGTGGGAAGGTTTTATTAAAGGGATGGAACTTTGGTTGGATCCTGTTGAAAACAGGAGTTGAACACACATGGATGGGATGGGAGGTAGAGGTCCAGCTGATGCAAAGTTACAGGAGTGACATTGTGGGCTCAGAAGGAAAAGGCAGTTGCTCAGTGAAGCTGCAGGGCAGAATGGGGAATCTGGATGATGGAGCTACACTGGAGCCAAACCAGGAAGGGATAGGATTCTCCGCAAGGGAGTTAGAGCATTCATGTCAGATACCAGGGAATGAGGGAGGACATTAGACAGAAGCAAAAAAAAAGACCACATTTTAGGAACGCTGTCCTTCTCAATGTCTGTAGAGTTACAATTTTAAAAACACATAGGCTCTGTGTCCACCCTCCCTGGGATTGCCAATGCTGGTAGTCAGGGAGCTGAAGCAAAGAGAAGATCAAGGGCAGTCAGTGGGAGGTTTCACTGTGGCTGTGGCATCCGAGTGTCTTCCTGTATGTCGGCCAGTTCCAAAGAAGGAAGTCACTATTACTTATTTCACTGGAAACTACGTTACAGATGATGATTCCTGCTCAACCCACATTCTCTGTCTCCAGCCCTTCACTGATGCCCGCAAGTGCAATCTCTCACTCATTTCTTCTTTAAAAAATTGTATTGGGACTCTTGATATACATACTGGTCACATCCGTCATAGGGAATTGACACCTGTGCATGATATATCTGGATTCTTCTTTTTTTCCCCATTCCCCTGCAACTGTATTCCCCTCCTTATTTATAAAAGGGTTGCTTCCATTCTTTCCTTTCTATTCTATTTTTGTTCCTTTTCTCTTCCTTGCCTGTCCCCTCTCCACTCCCTCTCTTGGGTCTTAGGAAACTACTTTCCTACCCCTGATTCAGTTTCT